AATTCCTTTGCACACTTTACTCTGCACGCATTTTTGTCTTAAGTTTGTGTCTTTTCCATTTTAAAAGCTAGAAGATTACGAACATTAATTTTGAAACTTGCCAGAACGCAAAGAAATATGCAAATTTAGTAATATTTTGAAAAGCAGAAAATTTTTCTAATGTTTAAATTTTTGTCTTTATCAATTATAGACAAAATTCCAAGATCTGTGGATTTAATTTAAAATTGTGTTTGACATTACACATGCCCTGATGATTTGACAGTCTAAGCCCAATCGATATTTAATTCAATTTATTTGTCATTTAATATTATCGTTTAAGTTTTGTAAAATTTTCTGCTCATTTAAAAAACTATTTTTTTTTTCAAACTTACTTTTTTTTGTATTTTATTGTATTTTTTGTCTTTTTTATTATTACTCCAATATTATACATTAAAATATCATTCAGAGAATTTGTAAATTCAATAAGATCATTAAATGAACACAATTATAATTGAGTAAAGAAAAATATAGTTGAGAATTAAGAGGAAATGTAACTTCCCACGCGGTTATAACCAACTCGTTTAAGTTGTTTTATGTTTTTTTTGCGATGTTTGCTGGTCGTTTTTTTTGTTGTATAAGATGAAAACTAAAAATAATTTTAATTTTGATCTCAATTAAATTGAAAAATTATATTTGATTAACAATAAAGAAAATAAATTGTTAACAATAAGGGAAAAACTTATATAGTACAATTAATCATGAATTAAAAAATGGTTTGACAATTTGACGACTGTACTTCAAAAATGAATTCATTGTAATTTATTGAATAAAATAGGGCAGCAATCACACGCACAAAATTATGAACACATTAAATTTCTGCACAAAATTGCTTAAATTAATTTATTATTAAATAAAACTTAGAATTATCGGAATTAAAATTAGAAATTGAATAATCAAAATTTTTAATATTCACTGAATATATCTAGTTTTATGCTAGCCATTATTAAAATTTTATAATTTATATTTTGTACTTTAGGAAATTGCAGTCTTTTTTGCGAAATTACATTGAATATCTAAGTTGAATTCAATAAAATTTTTGCAAATTATTGATTGTAAATTTCACAATCCACAAAGACAAAAAAAATAACATATAATTTTATTAAAGTTTTAATATGTGGTCAGTTGTTTAAATTTTCTCATACAAATTATTTAAATTGTAAAATTAAATATTTGATTGCAAAGAATATTCATTTTAAATGGCAAATAATAATTTATTCATATTTTGTATTATAATTAAAAATAAATCAATCATATTCGATGTGGTCTTGAACTTACATAAATAATAAAATAACAATTTTAAATTGATTTTTTATTTGTTATCTGAATTGTTTTTTATATAAAATTGGTTTTTAAAATTAGAACACAAATTTCTATTTTTACATAATATTGATGATTGAAGTGAGTTTGGTATATCGTTATTAAGAAAAATTGTAAAAACTTATTTGAAATTGTTGATTGCCTAACCGATACGTGTAGAAAAGGTTGTGGATTTTGTGGCTCAATTTTTCTAATATTCCATAATGAGCAAAGGCGTTCGTTCTTATACTATTTTCTACTAATTTTAAGATCAGACTTTAATTTTAACTTCTTTAACTTAAAATTTTTTGCTAATATTAAAAATTAGTTATACTTTGTCGACAATAATTTGAATTCAATAATATGAGTTCAAAAATACTACATTAATGTGAAAGTAGAAATGTTAAAAATTTTCTGGACTAGTAGGTATGAAAAATTATTCATAAATAAATGTTCGATTTTTTTAAATATTTGTCTTTTACAATAAAATTTCTGAAAGTTTTAAGAAATTTACTTGATTTTGATACATGAGTTGAAAATTTCAAAATATAAAAGCAAAATCTGCTTAATAGATAGGATAACAAAATTATTAAATAAAGCTAAAGAGTTGGGAAATATTCATCTGGAAAATATTTACAATTTTACGAACTTGTATGTGTATATTGTTAAAACAGCTCATAATTTTTGAATTTTGAAGTTGAATACAAAGCTATTACGTGTTAATTACAAAATATCTATCTGTCACTTTAATTTAATAATATAAATTGTTAGTCTATTGTAAAGGTATATATTGAAAAAGTTTCGATTCTCGCTTATTAATATTTTGATCAATTAAATTGTTGTATTATGGCACAATTATTTTCTTATTAACTGATTTTTCTCAATACCACCATATGTTACCATATTATCTAGGTTAACAGTTAACAGTTGTTGGATAACAGTTTTTGAATAAGTTAAACTATAAAATTTTTGTCAATACTGATATTATATGTGCCGAAAAAAATCAGATTAACTCCAAATATCAAAATAAAGCGAATGTTTTAGTGCGAAGGTACGAATGTTATGTGCCACGTTCATATATTCAGGACTCGCGAATGAAATAGTGTATTATACGTTTTATTCGGTTCGGTAAATACTTAAACGTTTTCTTAAAAGTTCATAATTTAGTTTTGTATCTTTTAAAAATTTTTTAAATATAATTAAATATTATAAAATTAATCAAAATATTGTGTACATTACGCTACTGAATTGAGCAAGATTCTCAATATTTCTGAGAATTTAATTATTTTTATCCTAGTAAAATCATCTTACGTTGATGACGTTTATTTGACTGACATACATATATTAAGTTGAGATGTTAATTAACAAAAAATATTTTTTTATAACAAAATCGTAAAAATTTTAAGTAATTGTTATTAAAAATTGCATATAAAATCATAAAATTACATGTGTAAGTATAACAAAAATATTTTCAATTTGTTATTCAATTGTTATATACATATGTATAACAAATGTCTATAATAAAGAATAATATTCATTTTATAGATAATACATAAATAACGGTATTATGCCGCCATTATCTTTATAAATATTCATATTGTAAGCTGTAAAATCGAAAATTTCAATAACATTATAATTAAACCAAATAAAACCGAAGAAAAATTATAGATTTTTTTTTTTGAAAATTTTACGCACGAGCTTCATGTAAACGCAATGAGACAAACAAAAATATTAAATTGTACGAATGAAGCTCGATTCAAAAATTATATAAGCTATACGATTGATCGATTAGCAAAAAGAAAAAGAATTCAATTTGAACTGAATAGGCGCGCATTAAAATGTTGTAAAATAAAAGAAAAATTAAAAGTAATGGCAAAAAAAAAACTTCACCAAATAAGCCGCCTCCATATAATATTACCATACACGACATGCTATGCTTATGCTCTATACTTAATATGACAAGCGTATCGTTAAAGTTATAGCGAAAAAATTAAAATTTGATTAAAAAAATGTAATTTCGCGTTGTTAGCAAACTTTTTATTATTTTTTTGTAGTAATTGTTGTATGTAGCTGTATTTGTTGCATCAACATTGTTATTTCTTTTTGAGTATTTTCATCTACTGCGGAATGGAAATTTAATAACTTGATTAAATTTCGAAGAACTACTTTTGTATGTTAGTACATATGTAACGTATGTATGTGTATATGGCAAAGTTAAGTTTTAGCATAAATTTGAGTGGAACTAAAAAAGCAGTCAATATGTTAAAGCTTAATTTAAAATTATGCGAAGCAAATTTTTCGATCACATATTCGATTGTGTGTTAGTGTAAATACGAGCGCACTACTTACTAGTATAAAAATATTGTGTTGCCACCTAACACATTTTGATTAAAACATTTTTATTATACTTTCGATAGCAATTTATGGAATATTTTTTTGGAATTTTCATCATCTTTTGAAATCAATTTTTTTTTTTTTTTTGTATTTCCACTGCTTTTTGTTATTCCGCGAACTTTATCATAATGCATACTTGTTTACATTTTTACGTACATACACATAAAATATGGTACGTATATTGTTATACAGTTTTGTATGCGACTATGCTGTAGTGATCATGGCAACATACTGGAAAAATTATTAATGGTTGATTTGGGGACTGCATAGAAAAGTCATCGATCGTATTCAATAGTTTGGTATTTTTATTAATGCTTTTTGAAATATTTTTAAAATTATTTTTTAAAATTAAAAATAAAATGATTTTAAAATTTGTGGCGATACAAATTAATCGTAATACTGGACCTAATTTGCTCAGCATGCATGAATGAATTTAAAATCGAGAATTATTGTTAAATTAGTTGGGGTCTGTATGTCTATTGAATAGATAGTTGAAATGAATTGACAGGTAGGAGAAAATTTTTTTTTTAACAAATTTTTTTATTCAGGTTTGTCTTTGTTATAACAATTACAGCATTACAGCTGGAGAAGAAAGAATTTGTAAAGAGAATAATAGGTGTATAGGTTCAATTAAATTGGTAAAAATATTAAATTTTTTTTTTGTACTCATATTGTTCATGTTTACAATGGTGTGTCACTTTTTAAAGGAATGTGAAAATAAAAAAAAACAAAATTGTTCAAAATTTGAATTAATTTTTCATATTTAAAATTAATTTTCAATATGTTTTGAATAACAAAAGTTTCTACTATTTTTGAATACTGAATTTTATATATTTGGGCTAAATAATTTTTTATTGAACAAGTTATTGTTCTAGTGTGGTGACATTAATTTTTAAAGGCTCACTAAGTTTTCAAGTATTTTATAATTTGATTTATTAGCGGTTGAAACGAAAAATTGCAATTTTAGGCCGTAACCCGCGAAAATTTCCAATTAACTCAGATGTATGAGATGTATTCTCATTTGTGTTATTTAGATCATTTTGAGTACATTTGTAAAAAAACGAAATGAACTCTATCCATCTGTCTATTTGTGCAAATGTTTAAAAAAGTTCTACATTTCGTTCTTCAAAACTGTGCTATGATTCCTCATTACCCTATTCGGTATTCGCATTTTCAGCTTAACTCTTGTTGCTTGTACATACAAAAATTCTAATATTAATTCACTCTTTTTCCGATAACTGAAAATTTATTATTTCTTTTTATAATTACAGGTTCTCTAATAAAAGTGAGATTAAATGAATTAGAGAGAGAATTTTATACTATAGCTCTAAGAAAAAAGTTGGAAAACGTCTTACAGTTTTTAAAAGGTAAGTTATCTTTTGAATTAAGCGTTAGAAAAAGATGAAAGTGAGCACCCTTTTTAAAATTTTTGTTTTTGAGAAAGATGCGTTTTCCAGTTTTTGATTTACATTACGCTTATATTCTTCAATGGTAATTGATATTTTTTTTTGCTATTACTGAAAACCTTTATTCTTCATTCTACTTTTATTACTTAAAATTGAAGAATTTTATTTTATTGAAGAATATTCTTTTCCATTGGGCTGCTAGGGGTTCTTTACATGTTATTATGTAATGCTATACTAGTGGTAAAAGTAGAATGAGTTGTGAGCAATTGTTTACCCTAAATTTTTACAATGGCAAAATAATTTCCTCTTTAAATTTTATTTAAATTTTGCAATTCCATTTCATTTCCAAATCAATAATTTTATTAAAGGATTTATATTTTATGCCTTAAATTGTTTATATAGTCAAAAACAAAAAAAACAAGATGAAAGAGATTAAATTTCTCTTGTAAATATAAATGTAAATAGATTAATATATATTTAAAACGGACTTCCGTTCTCCTAAATAAAATTATTGTGAATTAAAACGAAAAAAAAAATTATAAATGGAACACGACCGTAAAAAACTAAAAAGTTAAACCCAGTCACCATTCATCATCCCCTTATATTAAGGGATACAATTCAAATATACATATGTAAGCGTGTATATACGAATATATTTGTGTGTGCTGCATAAAATTTATTTTCAAAAAATTTTGTTACTTTTCAAATACGTATACCAATTTATAACAATTTTTTAGTTTTCACTATAAAAATAAAACAACTAGTCAACCCTAAATCATTTGATGGATTAACGTTGATGGAGCATTTTGATGATTCTTATACCAAAGCATTAATTTTAATATTCACTGGAATTAACTAGAGAAAAAACACTAAAAAAAGGGTGGCGGCACATATTAAATCTTACACATGAAAACAAAATATCGTGTACATCTTAACTATTTTCCATATTAAATATAAAGGATTGATGTATAAGAGAATATTTATAATGTGTTTGTTTGTAATATCGGCAAGTGGAGGAGGCAATTCGGAAATTAAAGTGAGATGATGTTAAAGTATTTTCTGTGATTTAATGATGCTATAGGGTTTACGGAAGACTTTTTGTGTTCTTTTTGAAATAAATTCTCATAAACATAGAGGTTAACAATAAATATCTGCAAAATATTCTCTCTTATATTGTATATTATTTTCAAACGGAAAATGAAATGAGAAAAAAGGAATATAACAAAACTTATTTAATATGCTTTTGGGTGTTGCCAAAGCTAATTTTTGTGATATACATAAATAGTATATAAACTGCAGCATGTAGTGTCAATGGTAACACTCGAAAACAACTTAAAATAGGAATATTTTTTATAATAGTAATGAATAAATTTTTTTTATTATATAACAACCTTTTATCTTAATTTGTTGGGTTTTCCATTTAAAGTGAGAATTTATGAAATATATAAATAAAATATTGATAGACATTTCAAATGTTTTAATAGAATCGATCGAGGATAACCGTTTTGCAAACAATTTTTTTTAGATTTTAGAAAAATTTCTCATATTGTAACAAAACTAAGATGCATCTAGATACAAAATTATTTCTGTATAAAAATGTTATAAACGACGGCTTCAACATCAGTAATGTAAAATTTCTCTCCATGTTGATGGAGTTCAGAAACCAAGACTCTGTTTTATTTTTCCAATCAATTATTTTTAGTAATTCAATTTTGTGTGTAGATGGCAGCTTTTTTAACATAATTACCAAATTAGGTTCAAATTTCTAAAATACACAGAAACACCAAAACGTAAGTTGTTACAAAACTTGAGTTTTAATACAGGCAGGATCAAGTTCGGACAGCAGCATTCGTACAAGCTTATTTAATGCAATTTTACAATTTCGTACAGGGTTCTATTCAAACTAAAGCAAAGAACAAAAATTAAATTTTTCAAGAAATCAGTTTGCAAATGAGAAAAATTAGGATGTTGAGTAGATGTATCAGGTAAATAAAATATAAGTGAAATTTGGAGGTGATTTATATATTGAACGTTCATTTACACACACACTGATATTCAAAACGTATGCTGTAAATTGTTTGTTATTGCCTATATAAATATTGGCTTACGTACATACTTACATATATATAAGTATATTAAAAATGTGAGGAGAAAATTAAGTATAATTTGATGTGGAAATGATAAATTAATGGAAATGAAAATTTTTATTATAACACAAAATATATAGGGGAGGAAATAATTTAATATTTTGTTTTTATTTTACCCCTATATGTACATTTACATACGCGTATAATATATATACTTCTATATGTAAACATTATATTATATTAAATGGAAATAAATTGTTCATTGAACGCAAGTTATAAGCTCTATTTTATACATAATTACTTATTTATGTATATATTGGAATATTGAGGTTCAAAAATATTTCAGAAAACAAATAAAGGATGCTGATGTGGATGAATAAATAATTGGAATAGTGATACAATTAGGTCAGGAAATGTAACATAATTATAAAAAATAAACATAAATTTCAAGGTTTTTATTATTATGAGATTTGAAAAATTCAAAAAGATATTTTTTTTTTGTTTTTTAGTAAATAATACGGGATGAAAATAAATTATTCAAAAATTACTTATAATAATTAACGAAATCAAAAAATGGTTTCGATGTATTACGAAAATTTAACGATTCATTAAAATGCTGTTAAAAACAATACTTTAGAAGCGAAAATATTGTAAGGTAGTTGCAATTAACTGTAGTACGTTAAGTAGTTGTGCAACACATTTTAAAATTATTTAAACTCTTTAAGAGATTTATCATTGGAAGATTTTCATTTCGAAACATTTAATGGAAGCGAGTTGTAATTCTTGATAATCTACAAATCAATTTTTTTGGTATTTTTTCATTCTTCATGAAAATCACACATTTTACCTCTAATTCTTTAAGCCTCATTTTATCTGAAAAAATAAAAATTAATTATAACTCATATATTTAATCAATGTGCAATAGGTTGACTTTGCACGTTTCATTTCAGAATTTTAAAGAAATTCAGAATTTTAAAGAAAGAAAAGAAAGAAATAAATCATATCGAGAAAAATCTATACCTAAATTCCCTTGCAATATTGATATAATTTTTTCCAATTTCTTAATCTATTCTAACAATTCTTAATCTATTCCAACATTCATATGAAGGCGTAAAGAATATACAAAATAAAGTAAGGTCCGTCGGATCGCTTTTGGCATTTTTTGAAAGTCAGTTGGGCAACTTAATTTTTCTAAAAAATCTATTACAGAAATGCAGAAAATCTTTGATGATCAAAACTAAAAATTATAGCAATTTTAATAATTTGTGCTTGTTCGTGGGACTTTTAGTATTATTTAAGCATTAAAAATTTATTTTTGATTAAATTGTTGGCTTTTTTAACATTAAAGAAGGAAACGATAAATGTCACGTCAAACACTACGAAGAAATATATTTTTTCAATAGCTTTGTGTGTTGTTCGTGTACTTTCAGGCCAATCTGGCCGTTTTATTGACAAAGAAAGAAGAACAGAAAAATTTTATATTAGACTCAAGGTTAATGGCCCAGTGTTGTATTTATGTTATTAAAAATAAAATTTATCACTTTTTTTGGTTAATTTAAAATTCTTTTTTCTTATTTAGAAGCTACTTTGATAGTTTAGAAGATTTTTTTTTTCCTTCTTCACTCCTAGGTGAAGTATAGGGCTAGTGCTGATATCTATCATGCCCTAGTTCCTATAGTCACAGAGAGTTAGCTAGGTAGGACAGAAACCCCATAGTATAACTACTTACCTCAATGAAGTCATAAGATTTATTCGTTTAATAGACAAATAAGGGTAGTTTACTCGCTAATTTTGTGATAAAATCATTGCAAAGTAAAATTCTGTGCTTATTTCCCTAATGCTTACTTCCAAAAATTTTCATACAAATCAAATTTTTTCAAGTAACTCAAGTTAATTTAGAATATACTTAGTTCTGAAGTTTTTTTCCTTTCTCCATTTTCAAGGACAGTACATGCGGCCTCGGTTATGTTTCATATTATATGTGGGCGACTAGTCTATGTAGATGCATAGCTATCTTGTATAAAGATAAATTTTTCTTATACGTGCGTTGGTGCGGCTTAACACCTTTTTACCGAAATTTTAATAACTTTATTGCAGCATGATGTCACCAGTTTAATGTGAATTCATAAGTTTTGAGCATTTCTCATTTTTAAATAAAATTTTTTTTTTTAATTATTACAGTTTTGCACTTATAAAAAAGGATGTCAAAGAATAATTTTTTTTTACCTAGTATAATTTTATATTTTACGAAATTTTTACACGCAAATTCATGCTGTGCAATTTTTTTTTTCAAATTCGTGTTTAAACTAGACATTTCTAAAATTTTATTTGAAATGGAATTGAAACAAAAAAGCACATGAACTTTCCCAGGTTGTTTTTCTATTTTTTTTTTTTTTGCTCATAGGTAATTAATAAAATTATAAAATTATTTTCTTTATTTAAATGCAAGAAAGCAATAAAAAGAATCGCACCTATATTTCTCTAATGTTAAGGTAAAGTACCTTAACTGGAGTACCTTAAATTTATTACTTAAGATTTCGTTTTTAACCGTTAAATATGTATGTATACATAATAATGCTCTTTTAATCTAAAAAAACACAAGAAGATTATAAAATGGAAGAATAAACCATTGTCGTAAATAACACGCGGTCTTTGTATAGAGAAATTCGTTTCATTTTACATACAATCTTCTTCACAAAATTCAATGAAAGAATAAAGAAATAAAAATTATAGAATGATAGAAATTAAAAACAAAATAAAAAATACATGAAAAAGAGCAATCTAATAGCGCTTATTAAATGAAAAATGCAGCATGTTTACTTGTCTATAAATTCAATGTGCAATGCAACGTTACTATTAATTGTTTCATAGTTC